TGACTTGGTAATGATATTTTAGTTGACTTGGTATTAATTGAAGTATTTTTGGAAGTATTTCTTTTGCAAAGGCTTTTTGGAAGAATTTCTTCCCATAATAGTATTTTCAAGCAAAATAAAATTTCACCTAGTATTTTAGATGTCTGACATCTCTAGATCACCACGTTTGTTTGAAAATATATAAGGATGTCTAAGAATATCTTAATAACCACGTTTGTTTTGCAATATTTATTCATGAGAATATTCTATATTTATATAATGTTCCAAAAATACTCTTACGGATATTCATATAATTTATACATTAATCTAATATAATTTATATTTATATAATAGATTTTTTAAAAATTAATGTAATATTTTCATTTTTTTATATTAATTGTGTATATATTAATTTCGTATGTTATTAGGTAGAATATGTATTAATATAGTTTTTTAAAAGTAATTAATATTGAATATAAATTTCATTTTCAACTTTAATATTTTCCAAAAAGTATAATTATATAATTAATGTTATCAGAAGATAAATTAATTTATTATATTATCAAATTATATTCTTTTAATAAGAAAAATATCAAATATAAGTTGATCATTAAAAAAAATATTGGTTTTCCAAATATTAAAAATAAATAGAGATATTATATAATTTAATTGAAATTTATTTTATATGTACATGTAATATATAAATATACTTAATTGCATAAAATTGTTTACTAGTGAGTACATTAATTTATTTAAACTATAAAATTATAAATAAAAACAAAAAAATTTGATAAAAGAAAATATATGAAAAAATAATAAATGGGCAAAAATGTTAACATAGAATGCCCTCGATGACAATCATGGAAACTCATTTTTCAAAAGGGTATCCAAAACAACTCGGATGCCTCATGTATGGGCATCTATCCTAGCATTTGAGATACTCGGATATCTTACATTCCCGCAAAACAAACGTGGGAATCTGTCCGGTCTCATGGGAATCTTGCGAAACAAGAAGCCCCTAAATGTTTTCTAAACATAGAAAAAGTTTTTAGATAGGTATTTTAATTAGCTTAATTAAATAATTTAATGTGTTTAGAGTGATGGTAGAATGAATGATTTTTAAAAAAATATATATTTAAACATAATTTAGTGTGTTACAGTATTTCTTATAATAAATTTAAGTATAACCGATCTTTTTTTTTTTTAATAATCAATTTTTTCATTAAGTCACATTATTACCCTATTTTCTATAGAACTCGTCGACCCTTGACTAGTTACTATTATGGGTCTAATATAGTCAACTAATTTAACCTTTACGAATAACTACTTTATACTACATGTTAGCTCATCACCCATCCCTAGCTAGTTTGGCCACACCCAAATAAAATGTTAACATGCATCTCATAAAGATGAATGTTTTTCGAGATTTTAACCAGATCATATAGATTATAATGGAACCTTTAAAATCATATCAACTGAGCTAAAACTAAAAAAAAAACAAAAAAAATTATATAATAATTTATGATTCATTTGTTAACGTTTCTATTCTTTTTGTTTCTTGTTTTCAATTTTATTAAAAAACCTTTGTTCCTTGTTTTTCATTTCGTGGGACTATTCTCAAAATTACATATAAATTTTTGAAACAATCGAAACATGTTTGTCGTTTCTTGTTTCCGTTTTCAATTTGTTACAAAGCGCATATATATATATATATCATCTTTAAACTTATGGGAGTTAGAGTCATATAATTATATTTTTCTTTATTAAAAAGGAAGAAAAGCCCTTAATTATTATGATTGATAGATGACTAAATTATATAAAGGCTCATGAATTGTATGGCCCGTTTGAATTATATCGTTATTGTTTAAAAGTTACATTTTAACTGATCTTAAGCTTTTTGCCTTCTTCTTTTTTATTATTAGCATGATGAGTCACTCTTATTTCTTCATATTTCTCGAGCCTAATCCTCATTTTTGTCTATTGATTATGTGAGAGAGATCCCATTTTTTGTTCTTTAATCATGAGCGGGAGAGAAAATAAAGAAAAAATAATAGTTTAGTGTGTGTGTGTATATATATATATATATATATTTTTTTTTTTACTTAGTACTTATAATCTAGACTTAATTAATAGATTAAATCTTCAATCACTCATTACTTTTTGTTCTAATTTTAAAATTAGTCAAATTTAACAGGAGAGAGGGATAGAATTTACAATTGAATAAAATTCAGCTCATTGACTAAACAAAATAAACAAGAAAATGAATTATAAAAAAAGGGAAAAAAAAAACAATATGGTCTCGTCATTCAAAGTGAAGGACCAAGTTCACAATTTAGTTGGATGAAGATTGGTGTCATTTACCTGAAAATGGCCTTGTTGCCCCTTCTCTTCATCTTTCTCCTCACCTTCACCATTCTGGTTCTGGTTTTGGTTCACAAAAAGATCAAAATCTCCATTGACGTTCTTCTTCATCGGCGACTGCCATGCCCCCTGCCCTCCAAATTGATCTGCCAAAACCCCCCCTTCGTTAAACTTCTCTCCCCTGTCCTCCCCTGCATCCACATCCCCCTGCTGCACCACCAGCAGCGACACATTCGTCGCGAAACTCGACGTCACCAATGCATCCCCCAGCACTCCCAGCTCCGGTGAGTCACTCCACTCCGATAGCCCCGACACCAGCGGCGACACCATCCCTCTCCCTCTCCCCACAATGTACAGAGTGAACTCGTTTTCCATTGTGCTTATTGCCTTCAACGTTTCATCCCCATTGTTCACTAATACCTCTGCGTACCTTATGGATGGGTTGCTCGAGATTTCAGACAGGAAGTTCTGTATAAACTCGTTGTCGATCACCTTCTCCTTCTCTGCTCCGGCTAAGGCTGTAAGAATCTCCACGTTTTCTTCTCCTGGGAAGTCTGTTATTGTCATCTCTTTGACTTCGTCGCCGGGGAGGAATCTCACGACTGTTACTAAGATGCCTGGATTCTCTGACATCCGCCACGCATAAGCTAGAGCTTCTCTGTCATCGGGGCCGCCGATGAAGAACAGAGCGAAGCGTTGTTGCAGGCGATTGGAACGATGGGAGTCTGTGGGGCCGGAGGCAGAGAGGCCACGATCGACAAGGACCGCGACAGAACAGGGGGCATTGGCCATCACATTGTTGTTGACAATCCCAATTGAGGGGTTGCCATCTTCCAATCCGCCGTCGAGGGTGGGTTGCTTGTGAAATGGGACGAGGATCAAGTGAACACGCTTCTCCGCTGCAATACCGCAGATGTCGTCGTGCATTGTGGCGTAGGGCGACACCGCTGTGAGGGAGTGGATGGTTACACCATTGTGCTCGCTCTCGAACTTGTCAAAAGCATTGATGATGTGATCCGTCTGGACCTTGGCTTTGGCAGAGCTGGCTTTGCATTGGCCATGGACAATGAGCATCGCGGTGGCCCGACCAGCGAGCTCAACTAGGTGGATGGCGAAGACTAAGAGCGGCGATTGCTTGGTGGGGTTGGAAGCTCCGAGTAGATGGATGAGGCCATAGACATTGCGGGTGGAGTGGACACAGGCAACCACTCGGAACTCTGCCTCTGGTTTGATGCTCTGAATGGTTCTGTACCTATTTTTCCTCGAAGTCTTGATTGATTTGTAGGTAAAAGCCAATGTTGGTCCAATTAGAGCCGTCATTACCCAGAAAGACATGAGCATCACTGTGAAAGTGGCAGGACCCAAAGCCTACCAAAACACACAAAGTTCAGTCATTTCAAATTCAAGCAAGAATCTCAATCCAAGTTGTGTTGGGAATATAAAGTTTACAAGTTTATCATTTTACCTGCATATCACGTCCTGCACTTATAATTATCAACGCGAGTAAGCCTTTGGTATTCATTAGCGAACCGAGAGTCAAGCCCTCACGCGGCGGCATGTTGCAGAAGATAGCCACAAGGAAAGTGCTGACAATCTTGGCTGAGGCAGCCAAGAAGATGATCAACACCACCAAACCCCAATCCGAGTCTTTAGAAATGCTACTCCAATCCACTCTGAGGCCAGTCACCAAGAAAAACGTAGGCATCAGAATTGATTTAACCAAATCCTCCACCTTCCCCATGATCATGTCCTTCAGCTCACCCTTGGGCATGATAACTCCCCACATGAACGCCCCGACAATTGAATGCGACCCACACGCGTCGGTAATCAAACCACACGCCACGACGCCGGTCATCACAAAGCAGATGTGGAACTCATTGTAGTTCCCATCCTTGCTGCTGACGCGAATGAGCCACTTTAGAGCAGGGCGGAGGAGGAAAAGGCACGTACAGACAAACACAAATGTGGAGGACACTGCATAGTATTTGCCTGCATTGCTTATTGACATGGTGATCACAAGAAGCAACCAAGAGCAGAGGTCCGTGATAACGGCGGCAGATAAAGCAGTTCTTCCAATCTCGGAATGCAGAAGCTTGACATCTGAAAGGATCCGCGACAGGTCGGGGAAGTTGGTGGCAGCCAAGGAAATCCCCCAAAACAGAGGACCGTGGGCAGCAGCCTCTCCCATCTTTGGTTTGTTATGGTTACTATTGATAAGGTGATGCAAGCCAATCCCAACAGGAATTGGAAGAATAAGACCAAGCAAAGCAATGCTTATGGATTTCCCTCCCGCCCGAACAATTGGGGCCATGTCCAGCTCGAGACCAACCAGAAATATGTAATAAACCAGACTCAAATTCGCCACAGTTTCCAACGCCAACAAGCTCTTCAAAGCAAATATATATTTAACAAAGAAATCATTCAACCCCAATACCGACGGCCCCAGCAGCACCCCAGCCTTCATCACAAAAAAGAATCAATCAAATCATCAAACACGTAATGGGCATAATCAGAACACAAATATCAGAGTCCAAATTGAAACTTACAAGAATCTCAGCGACAATGGGAGGCTGGCGCAGAGGTTTCAGAATAAAGATGAGAACACGAGAGAAGAAAATAATTAAGCAAAGTTGGAGAGCGAAGACAGGGAGAGTTGAAGCCACGGGATTCTCAGCCCGCCATAGAGAACCCTCGTGAGTTATATTGCTATTGTAACACACGACGGAGTGATCATCGTACCGATGCTTTGTATAATACTCAACGGGCTGTGGCCACTGCATCTTCGAGCGTCGGAACCACCCAACACGGTTGTTTCCGGCACCGGCGTCTCGGCCACCACCGCCCTGAAGAGAAAGAGAATGGAAATGCACAGGAAGATTTCAGAGATTGTCGTAAAAGTTCCGGTAAATAAGGAACTGGGCAAAATTCGAGGTGGGATTGTTGGAAATCTGAGATGCAATTTGGTTATTTATTAATTTATGTTTCGCCAAAACATAGAACACAGCTATGTTTGTTTGTTTGTTTTTTTTTTTTCTTTTTTCTGTTGCAGCCGTTCGTCAAAAGAGTGATCGATTTGTTGTGATGTCCTGTCAACAGCCTTCATAGACCAAATATGGGTATTGAAATGGTGAGAGTTAACATCAAACTTCAATCTAGATTTTCTTTGTATAAAAAAACACCATTACATAAAATTTAGAAATTTTTTTTATGTTAAATTATCTATCATTATATGGAAGATTGTCAATAGTGTAAATATTACAGATTTTATATTCATAACATACGAATTCTTGGGATTTAGAAGAGCTTAATGAAATTAAACTTTTGTCTCCTATTTTACTACGTGATAAAATCTTCAAATGCCAAGAAATTACTATTTGAAATACTAAAGAGATTTAGTAATGTATATCATGGAAAACTTTTGATGCGAGAAAATAAAAATAAAAATAAAAAAGTATGGTAATTGACGTTCGTTTTCTAAGTTTCCTCTCAAATATTTAAGTGGAGAAGTGTGCTCTCAAGTTTGACAATGATATATTGAAACCTAGATTGAGATTGAGTTTTTATTTGGCAACCAAAAACCTCTAAATTTGTATGTTGATTATGATGTCTCGAACAAGCTGTGTATATTATTGAGTAATGCTATTTCATCGAGCAAACATTTACAAAAATAGTATTGTTGCTGCTAAATTGATGTAACTTCAACCTCCATGACTATAGATGGGAGCCCTTGCTATAAGTAAGACCTTTTACCTTCAAATATATATTTTTCTTTTTCTAGTACGACAAGTGGGGTGGAGGATTCGAACTTATGACAACATGTACCAATTACCGCTAAGTCAGAGCTCATGTTGGCTTCAAATATATTTTTTTTTATCTTTCATACCTTGAGTGAGATTATTATAAACCAAATTGTCTAGTTTTATATTTAAGAATCTAAACGTACATCTTAATACATATTGTATTTATATGGTTCAATTATTTCTTTAACTTTAATTAATAATAATCAATAAAGCTATACAATATCATTTTCTTATAATTTTTTTTTAAATGTTAACGTACTATTTTAGTAGTCCCTATCACTTACAGATCTAGTTCATTTTTGTCACTATACTTTTAAAATGTTTATTTCGGCCATTGTATTTTTAACTTTTTGTTCATTTTAGTTCTCGTACTTTCAAAATGTTTGTTTTAGTTCCTGTACTTTAAAAAGTGGTCATTTTGGACCCTATTTGCAAAATTTTAAAACTAATTCTACACATAACGAAAACTATTTAATATAAAATCACAGTTACATTTCAATAAAAATATTGAGTTGAAATTGTGGTAGAAAAAACGAGATTAAAAATAAAATTAAGATATCAAAATGGTCACTTTTAAAAAGTTCACGGAAATAAATGAACATTTTAAAATTACATAGACTAAAATGAACAAAGTTAAAATTACATTCACAAAAACAAACATTTTAAAAGTACAAGAACTAAAATAAATTAAAATTCAAAATACAGGAGCTAAAATAATATTTAAAAAGAAAAAGAATTATATAGAATAACTTTGACTCTGCTCCTAATATAAAAGCTTACTCCTTTTCATTCCTTGGGTTGGGAGGAAACCAAAAAGGAAGTAACCCTAAAAGGAAAATATGGAATTTGAATTAGGCACACTTGTTGTAGAAGTTCCTATTTCTTATGTACATTTAAAAGATATGGAAAATTACAAACAAAGAAAGAAATATTTAACCAACTAAATTTTAGACTTAATTTATTTCTTGTTCATAAAATTATTACTGAAGGATCGATCTTCATGTTTTGTTTACAAATTATTTGTCGAATGATAAGTAAAAATTGAGATTTCTTAATTTTTTAAACTACAGACTCACTCAATAGATACTTTAAATATTATACCTATTAAATCACTAGATTTTTAAAAAATTTTAAGTATGGTTAATATTATTAAAGTTATGACATGTGTGATAGCACCATCATGTCATTTCAACTTATATTTATATAATAGACATGTAGCAATTAAATACAAACACTATCCAAATTTCAAAGAGATAATTGAAAGCTCTAAATTTAAAAATTAATAAATTAATCTTTATTTTCCTCCCAGAGGTTGTTATTATTAGTTAAACTTAGGTGAAGGGGTAGTTGAAAGTTGGATGGAAAAAGAAAATGTTTGGTTAAAAATATAAAAACATGAGCTGTGATTAGTTGAATTTATTTATGAGATGGCCCTCTCATTGTTATCGCCGTTAGTCAATTATTGTTGGTTGTCGTGTCCGGAGACAACATTATATTCATGTTCTGATCATTTTTATATATATATATATTTTTTGGTTGGTGAAAATTTATTTATTGTCCTTTTCACTTGGAAACTCTCGTCCATTCCCATGTGTCTACATTATCTATAAAATTAATTTATTATTATTTTTTTCTCTTTTTGATCTTTCTATGTTTCATCATTAACTTTAATTTATTTTAGTTGGATTGATTTTAAAATGGTACTATTTTAGTTCATTTATATTTCCTTTTAATATATTTCTTGAAACTTTTTTATCTTTGCGTCAACTATTCTTTTTTGTGTTAATACAATTTTTGTTAAAGATTTTGCGAATAAAGTCTCGTGAAGTAAACGTTATATTATTTATTGAAGAAATAATTATTTAATTATTTTGATTGTATGCAATATTTATTATCTAATTTTATGAAAATTAAAGATTATAAATATAATATTGAATATTATATAGTTGACATACAAGAGAGTCGTACTTATGTTATACCCTAAAAAGTGATAAGGTTGGGTGATATAGTCATTTTGTAAATGTTACGGGTGATTTGATCAAGATTATTCATGCGGAGACATGTAGGTGAGATATCATAGACAACAAGTTTGTACAAGATTGAACTGCATAATATTTAATCTTTCTTTGTAAATCAGTTAAAAGATAAGATAAATATTTCAGGGGATAATCATATGTGCTCGATCATTATCTAAAGTGATTTATGAACTTTTGCCCGTGAGGGTATGTCCTTTGGGTGAGAGTGACTTTTATAAGCGACTCAATAAGGCTATTAATTTTGGGATGTAACCAAAGAATGAAGCTGAAAACAAAATCTCATAAAATTAAATTCACTCACTCCCATTATAGTAGTTCTCTTAAGTACTCGAGACTTAAACAATAAGGCTTCATCCTCTCATTAACTCAAGAGATACGTAGTTTATGGTTGGATCATAAATAGAGCGTTCATTGGAAAATGAGTAAAATGAGTGATACTTAAGTATAAGATATAATTACAAGGGCAAAATATGTTTTGACGCGGCTATAATTTCAAACAATTTATGAATGTTCAACTTGCATATAGTGATTATATCCATGGACGTAACCTATCTTACAGTGCATAAAAGTGCAACACCTAGTTCATAATGGAGTAACCTTAAATTAATGAATGAAAATTAATTAATTAATGAGTTTAATTTCAAACTTGTGTGTCATTTGAGCTTATAAACGGTATATTTATAAGGTCTTATTGCTATCCGCAACATTAATAGATCAATAATGTTTAAAAAAATTGAACTTGAAATGTTTAAATTCATAAGTATGGGTATCGAATTAACATATGAAACTTCAAACTTTATTTTCTTTGTAGGAAATTAAAAGAAAAAACACCATTAGGTTAACTAATTTTCTTCAAACACCAATCTAGCTATCACACCACTCACACTTACAAAAACGTGTCACTTAACATATAATATTACAAGCATTTTGATAGATTTATTAAAATGATAAGGACTAGATAAAAATTAAAAAGATAATTGAAGGGAAATACATTTTACAAAAGAAAAAAATTTAAAGCTTGTCATCATTCCCGTCAAATTAGTTGTTGTCAAACATTTAACGGTGACGAAAATAAAATTACTTCTATCAAATTTTTTCCTTTACCAAATGAAAAATATTTAACTCCAGGACTAAGTATTTTTCTTACCACAAGTGGATGAAAATTTTGAATCAGGGTTCGTCTCCGCTCCAACTGTTCTTCATCTTAGGTCCAGTCGGGCCTTCTTCTCCAAGAATTTCATTGGGTAACCTCTTTACAAAATCTCCGAATTCTTCCTTCAGCCTCCCCGGCAACGAATTCTCCAATTTTTCGATCTCCTCCGCGATCGGATACTCAATCCTCGGCCCCCATTCTCGGCTGTAGTTCAACCACGGCGGCTCCGTCACTGCTGTCGCCAAATACTCCGCCGCTACCACCGCGTAGTTCCCTCCAACGTCGAGCACCATTTGACTCTTCGCAGTCTCGTTTCGAAGTCCAATCTCCCCGCCGCCCTGCAACACCAGCCCCGCCGACGGGTACGACGCGTGGCCGTTCAACGATGAGTAGGCCACCACTTTGTTGCCTTCCCCGAACTCTAGCGACGGCGCGTCGACCCACACGCCTTTACTGTGCTGGGCAAAGTAGACCCTCCATAACTCGCCGGTGAAATTGCTTATCCGTAAGGTTATGTGCTCCCAATCGCCGATGTGTTGGCCGATTTTGCTGAATGGAATGTCGATGGGCCCCACTTTCGCCGTCGCCGGCCCGTTGAATGGGAAGAATAACCAAATCGCTATGTCGGTGAAAGTTCCTCCGAGCATCGGCTTTATGTGGAGGTAAACTTTGGAGTTCTGTAAATCCCCATTTTTCACTCTCTCTTTATCTTCCTCGCCGGCGGGAAGATTTAGCCAGAAATTGCCGTCGTTTGGGCCGCCTTGAGGGAGGTTTGTTCCATCTTGTTCGATCGTGATTGGATTCTGTTCGTCGGATTTGTCGTAAAGCAGAGCCCCGCCGGAGAAAAACCAGTTGACCGACGACGGAAGGTACTTTTCTTTTGGGTGGAAGTATATAATCGGAGCATAAGCTTGAAATAAAGAAGCGACATGGGAAAGATCCGGCATAGCTGCAGAATTCGAATTCGAATTCTTCAAACAGAACAATGGCGGCGGAGAATTCGCAGCCGGCATTGCTATAAATGCTCCGGCGGAAACTCCGGTCGCCGTGATTCCTCTGTTTCTGGGTCGGGAACTGTAAACGTTAAATCCATTTTCATCTCTCGATTTCGTCGGCCCCCAAATCCATGTCTCGTTCTCGCATTCCTCTGTTAGGTCTGAGCGGACGCACCGGATTTTCTCGACGGAGGGCTTCTCCGGCGAAGCTGTGACGACGTGGCCGACGGCTCTGTATCCGTCCGGCGGTACGGGCAACCAGATATAGCCGTTGCCGTCTCGTTTAATTTTCGACGACTCGCTGCTCCAGACGAGGGTATAGTCCACCGGCTGCTGCAGGGCTGGTTCTCCGGCGGAGCCTCCATTTTTCCCGGCGAGAACCCATCCGAACAGAGCTTTACTGTTCGATTGACAGAAATAACCCAAGATAAAGAATCCTTCAGGAAGAGAACTGGGTTCAAAGAATGTGGCCCCGAGATTCTCCGGTCCGCCTTCACGGGAGGCCCAAATTCTGTTGAACGACGAAATCTGGCGGACCTCCAGCCCTCCGCCAAGGTCCACGGTGCCGGAAGCAAATCCGCCGGCGCTTCCGCCGCCGTCTGGATGCCACGCCGGGAGCGGAGAAGGAAGTGAAAATTTTGTATCAACGGGGACTCTCCTCGGAGTGGTTGAGGAAAAGCAGTTCCCCATTAATGGCGGCGAATGAATGAAAATTGGGAACTGAGAGAAATGGAGTGAAATTTTTGTGAAGGCGTGCAAGGAAGGGATGGATTTGTAAAGTTTTTGGAGAAGAAGAAGAAGAAATGAATTAAAATATAGATTAATTGATTTGTGACTCATAAGATTCTTTTTCTTAATACAAACATGGTGGAGATTGGAATTAAGTGTCAGAGATAAAAGATAAAGATAATTAATGGTTAGGCTAAATTCATGACTTGTAAGAAAATTTTTAAAATTTACGGTCTCATGCAAGATTGAAAAGTTAAATCTTTTAAACATAATATTTATATCAAAAACATCAATGAATTTTGAAAAATGTCAAAATAGATTATCTATTAAAAATAAATTGGGAGCGAAGATTTTCTTTGATTTTTTGAAATCTAACTTACAGCTACTACTCTCATGTCTCACCTATGTATTATTTTGTCATGTTATCAACATTTTATAAATATTTTTAAAATTTTCAAAAACTTTTTTTTAATATAACACGTGGGATGAGAGATTGAACTTACGACCTATTAATTAGAAATATATGTCAATAACGAATGAACTATACTCACTTTAGCAAAATTTTCAAAAATTTATCTATTTTAAAAATTTGATTAATAATTCAAATACATCATATAAAAAAATTATAAGAAAAGTTGTGAGTAAACGAAGTTTAATTTTTAGAAACAGAAAACTAAAAACGAAATCATCTATCATACGTAAAGTCAATAGAAACACTTTCTAAAGTTAAAAAAAAAAATGAAACGTAATCTTAAAAGTCCGAAGGTTAAATTTGTAATTTAACTTTAAATATACCAATTATTTTATGTTATTTATAAACTCGATTGGGTTGGGTATTTTGTTATTCATTATTATCGTCATCTTTCAGCGCGTTTCGGGTAATCTTAGGAAAATAATTAAAATATAAATTCTGTGAAACTTATCAAGTACGTAGGATAGCTGCGTCTGGTTGGAGAAATGGGAGAAGGAAGGAATAAAATGTGTCTAATTTTCCTTCTTAAGAAATGTGTCTAATTCAATTTAAATTTTGATCAATAATTTAAATATATTCAGCCTATTAATATCCTTCCATTAACCTTTTAATTTTAAGCATGATTCACGTATTTAGTCTGTAATAAATAAATACGATTCTAAAATTAGGACCTTCTACGTCGTTAAACTATGTCCTATCTAATTACATCAATCATTTCATTAGCGGATCGTGTTTGACTTTTCATTTCTTTCAAAATTTGTAGTTATTTGTGATATTTCTTTTGTCTAAACTATACTATTAATTTTGTAGGTGAGTTTAGAATATAATTGTGTCCTTCGACTATATAAGTTTTTTTTGACTTATTGTCTTTATTTTTGTTTTTTGGGTCGTAAGGTGTGCAAATAAAATCTCAAATTATAGATAAGGATAATTATCTCTATTGTATCATGTTCAAAATCAAAAATAGAATTGTGAAACTTATGTCCAAAGCAAATAATCTGTTATTTGGGAATGAAAAGATTTATTTGAATAAAAAATTGAAATTAAAACATTGTGTAATGAAGATTTACCACTAAACATATATTTTAAAATCTACCAATATTAAAAAAAAAATCTACATTGTATGGATACACTCCACCCATATTAAATATAAGAAGGTCGTAAGATGTGAGTTGTGATATTGATGTGAACAGATAAAACAATTGAAAGAAAATATGACCCATGGATTGTTAATAATGTTTATTTAAAATGTCTGGCGAAAATATTATCTATATCTTCTATTATTTATTTTATTCGTATGGACTTGGTCTTTTAAGACTTTGATTTTTTTTTTTAATAATTCACAATATTATACATCCTTTTTCCTCTGGAAAGTATAGCTTAAAAAAAATAATTTAATAAAATTCTCATATTGTAAAACAAATAAACATATCTCCACGAGCGAGTTCTACATTAGTTTTCTATCAATTTATAAAATTTCAACTTCTTGTAGACTGGTTCAAAGAGAAAAATATATATATATTTTTTATACGTTAATTTAATTTAATTTAAATGAAGCTTTGAAGTTTTATATTTGTTCTATTTGAGCAAATAATCTTTTCTTTGTTAAAAAAAAATTACATAAAAAACTATTTTAAGCTTTGTCCTTAATTTCTTCGTATGAATCATTTAAAACAAAACCATAACATGTCTATTCATTTTTGTTTTGATATGTGTATATAAATGAAAATGTTAGGTAGACATGTAGCACATGTTTTATTTTATTCATTATCTATATATCTATCGTATAGATAAGTGTTTGGGAACCACAAAAATCAAGAGTATTTATTCATGTTTCGAAATAGTCCAAACTTTTTTACTTAATTATCAATAAAAGTTCAATGACAAGCACTTGTAAATTTTATGCCACGTAGTCTAAACTCATTTCCAAACTTCCAACCTGCTAAATTTTTTATTTATAAAATTTTTCAATTATGAAAATTTAGGTATGTGGAAAATTATAGTAAAATTAATTTTTTTTTAAAGTATTTATATATACTTCTTGAATTAGGACAAATTAAGACCGGAGCAATTGTTTCTTTTTCTTTGGTTCTAAAACAACCCAATATTATGTTAAGAATCAATAAACCACCCCTCAATCCAAAAGCTTAAGCGGATGGGTTGGATAAATTTAATCAATTTTGTTAATTTAATTCATTTATATGGATTATCAACCAAAATATATACCATAGTTGATATTAAAAAATAGTTTTTTTTTTTGACATGGTTTCGGCCGTATTTTTTTTTTATATTAAAACCCAAATTGATAGCAAATGAATTACATTGCAAAATTCAAATGGAATACATTGAAATTTAAATATAGTTGTCGTTTGATTTTCCATTTGGCAATGCGTGATTGAATCAAACAGATTTAGAGGAGAAAGATGGAAGTTTGGCAGGCATGGATGAGATTTGAGAAGGGAGAAGGTTTTTGAAATTTTAAGAGCGTTCATCTCCATTCCAAGTATCCTTCAATTTGGGTCCGGCGGGTCCTTCTTGTCCAAGAATTTCATCCGGTAATCGGTTCATAAAATCCTTAAAAGCTTCTTTAAGCCTCCCCGGCAGCAACTTCTCCAGCTTCTCCATCTCCTCCGCGATCCGGTACTCGATCTTCGGACCCCATTGCCGGAAGTAGTTCACCCACGGCGGCTCTGCAACTGCCGCCCCCAAATACTCCGCCGCAATCTCCGAGAAGTTCGCTCCCGTGTCCAGCACCATCCCGCTCTTTTTCGTCTCGTTCTTAAGCCCGATCTCTGCCCCGCCCTGCATTACCTGTCGAGATTACGAAACAAATAGATTAAATTTACCACAACCTATACTCGAATCTCTACCTTAAACTTATGAAAAGAAAAAAAAAATTAGTTTAGCAGTGATATTAACGTAAAATATCAACCAATCAGAACACGTGTTTGTGTTCTAAAAGAATTAATGCAGGTTGAACTAATATAGTATTATTTTATTTCCATTAATATTAATAGTTATTTTGAATTTTGAACCAACATGAGTAGGGATAAAAAGTTAAAACACATTTATCACATATTATAAGTTTACTTTTACTTACTTGAATATTTAACTCATATCACGTACTATATTTATTTGTGAGATTTAATCAAATCATTAAAGAAAATTGAAACCACTAGATTTAGTGCGTTACATTCCCATCCCATTGTTGTAAAAGAAAAAACAAATTAAAACTAAATTCAAATCATAACATTAAATTAAATTTTTTTAAAAAACATTACTAAATTTATGGTCTAATTATGAGTTTAGCGGTAGTTTAGCATTACCAGTCCGGCCTTTGAGTAGGAGGCATGGCCATTCAACGACGAGTACGCCACCACTTTGTTGCCGTTTTCAAACTCGAGCGCCGGCGCGTCAACCCACTCGCCTTTACTATGTTGGGCAAAATAAACCCGCCACAGCTCGCCGTTGAAATTGCTTATCCGCAACGTAATATGTTCCCAATCGCCGACGTGTTCCCCGATCTTCCTGAACGGAATATCGATTATCCCGACCTTCGCCGTCGCCGGCCCGTTGAACGGGAAAAAAAACCATATCGCGACGTCGGTGAAAGTCCCTCCGAGCATCGGCTTTATGTGTAGATAAACTTGGCAGCTCTGTAAATCCCCTTTTTTCACTCTTTCCTTTGCGCCGCCGTCCACGGGGAGGTCCAGCCAGAAAACGCCGTCGTTTCCGCCGCCCTGAGGGAGGTTCGCCCCATTTTCATCAATCGAAACCGGCTTCGATTCGTCGGATTTATTGTAAAGCAGAGCGCCGTTGGAGAAAAACCAATTCGCCGACGACGGGAGAAATTTCTCCTTCGGGTGAAAGTAAATCAACGGAGAATAAGCTCCAAACAGAGCAGCCACCTGAGAAATGTCCGGCATCGCTGCAGAAATCGAAGCCAAGTTTTTCAGACAGAGCAACGGCAGAGGGGAATTCACCGCCGGCACGGCGGCGAACGTCCCGACTGAAACCCCCGGCGCCGTGATTCCTCTGTTTGTGGGTCTGAAACTGAACACATTAAACCCATTTTCGTCGATTGATTTCGCCGGCCCCCAAATCCAGCTCTCTTTCTCGGATTGCTCTGTGAGATCTGTACGGACGCATCGGATTCTGTCGACGGAGGGCTTCTCCGGCGACGTGGTGACGATGTGACCGACGGATTTGTAACCGTCGGGAGGAATCGGCGACCAGATGTAGCCGTCGGTGTCTCGTTTGATGTTCGATTTTTCGCTGCTCCAGACGAGGACGTAGTCGACGGGCTTCCTGAGAACGGCGCCGGCGGGAGTGTCGTCTCTTCCGGCGAGGACCCAGCCGAAGAGGGGTTTGTTGTTGGGCTGGCAGTAGTGGCCGAGAACGGAGAAGCCTTGGGGAAGAGGAGACGGCTCGAAAAATGTGGCTCCGAGATCGTCCGGACCGCCGTTGTGGGTGGTCCAGATTTTGTTGAAGGATGAAATTCGGCGGATTTTCAGTCCGCCGCCGAGGTCGATTAGCCCGCCGGCGAAGCCGCTTTCGCCTGAAGCGTGATTTTCATATGTAAAATAATATTAGTTTTAACAGTTCATCTCATCACAATTCTTGAAAAGTTTTTTTTTTTTTCAAAATAAAATTTCAATAACATTTTTTTAATTTGTTTTATGTTGCAGTCAATTATTGCATGTGCCTGCCTTGCCTACATGTTTCGCACAAATTCTACAAATAAATATTTCAAATTTAATTATTTCTTATATTCAAATTTGTATATAAAACAAAAGTAAGTTCAATATATAAATGAAATCATGGGTAAAATAAAATTTAAAAAGTCCAATTTTAACATCAAATTTAATTTTATTACTATCACGTGAATTAGTAAAAAAGAGTTAGAAATTGATATAATCATTAATGTGTCATCATTACACTGAAAACTTAAAATTTAAAGAAGAAATAAATTTTCATATTTTATAATTTCAAAGAATTTAACTTATACCAACCCCAACCTTTTTTTTTTCGCTCAAAGTCAAAAAAAAAAAAGAAATTATTTAACAGAAATCTAGAACATGTCTATTTCCTCGCCCGTTCCAAAAAATATCACGTAAATATTGAAGAATTTTCTATGGTTGCTTTTGCAAAATAAGAAAAAAATCTTTAACATGTTCCTTCGAGTTTGCGATGGCTTATACCCTATCAAAATTCATACAGTTCCATCTCAAAACTAATTAATAATGAGATGAATAGTCTATGATTATATTATAAACTTTTGTAAGGTCCATTTTCTTGTTTATGTGTGATCCATAGCATTTATTTTGTGTCTCACCAACCAAATTAACCTCCAAGAGGTGAGGATTATTTCCCTCCGAACCAATTAAACCAAGAAAATAATTCAATTATAGATTAAGATATATCAATTTTATCAAATATGTGAGGATTGAATTTCTCCTTTTTTTACTTTCATCAAGAAAGAAAAAAAGTGATCTAAATAGAGAATGACAAGAGAGATATTGAGAATACCATGAAATCCTCCACTCCACTAGAAATTATTCAAGATATATTCTAATACAAATCAATAAATAAACATGTCGTAAAATTTTAATTCAAATTAAAGATTTCAACCCACAACACACACATATATAGAAGATGAAAATTATTGAAAAATAAGCAGCAAAAAACTAAAAAACCTGGTGGAAAAGCTGGAAGAGGAGAAGGAAACTTGAAGGAAGTTTCAATGGGCAAAGCCTGGCTCTTTTTGGAGCTTTTATTCCCCATTAATGTCAAGCTCTGAAGACCAGAAGAAAGAGGAAGAAGATGAAGGCTGTGTTGTGGAAGCAAAAGTTTTCAGGCCAATATATATATATATATATATTTATATGTATTTGTATATATTATACGCAGAATGTAAATGCTTTGGAGAAACATTTGACTTCTCTTTTACAACAAGTTGGCAGCTAGCTCTTGCTTGTTCTCTTTATTTATTTTTTTGTCTTGTTTTAAGTGTGCTGTTTTTTTTAAACAAAATTTATAATATATTACATCACAAGAGTTTTAAAAACATATATTAGCCAGAGATTATTATCTTTGATCAGATTATTGGTATCTAAATAAGTTTACAAGTGTTAAAAGAAATGGGTTATGCTTATCTTGATTTTATTTGTGATATATTAACAATAAAATAAAATCGATTCAACTAATGATTAATATGGGACGAAACCGATCCAAACCAAATGAATGTACTCATCTTCGACTTTCAAGCTTATAAAATCAAACAAACAATTTATTGATTCGATTATATTTGATTAACATGGTTGTGATATATTAACAATAAAATAAAATCGATTCAACTAATGATTAATATGGGACGAAACCGATCCAAACCAAATGAATGTACTCATCTTCGACTTTCAAGCTTATAAAATCAAACAAACAATTTATTGATTCGATTATATTTGATTAACATGGTTTAAAATAGCTATGTGCTTCTTAAAGTCTGTGAATATATATTTATTCCTAATTTTTTTTATTAATATATATATATTAGAAAATTATTGGATCTAGCTTTAATATAATTTTTCATGCTATTTTATGATCAATTTATAATTTTTATTCACGGATGAGGTTTTATTTATTTATTTATTTTTAATTTTTCTCATGTTTTAATCATGTCATTAAAAAAATTATTTATCTTCCAAAACATAACATTTGAGGAGAGAAGAAAAGTCAAGACGTAACAAGCTGTAAACTAATAATTTATTCTAAACATTTTTTATAACGAAAATCGTTTTGCTTATTTTTACTTTTTGAAAAAAAAAATGTATGAGTAGACTTTGGTAATAATTTAATATTTCATGCTTTGCCATACCTTCCACGTGCTTTCTATATTAGAGAATCTTTATTTTTTTTCCCACCCTAATGTTATGATAATGTCGAATTTATATTACTTTAATTTTTTTGGGATTGGAAGGTAAATACATGCCGACTTCTAATTAAAATAAAAGGCAGCAAAGAATTATTAAAAAAAATATTTCTAAGTTATATATATATATATATATATATATATATATATATTGCCTAAAATAAACTACTAGCATTTTATTTCATTAACAATAGAAGTATTTTGTGAATGTAAAAGAAAAAAACATACGTATTTGTACTCATATTTTATTTGTATGGTTTAATAACTATTAAGCAATGGGTGATAAAAATTTATGAATTCGAATCTCTCCACTTTTATATGTTGTACTGAAAAAAGAAAAAATAACAATAGAGTATTCTTTTAAAATATAAAATTAATACTATTTATACCATTACAACTTTATAATATTTAATTACGCTATTTATTATAATTCTTTTATACAAAGTAAAATATTTATCAGATAAAGCTCTTAATTTTTTAAATTTATTTATTTGGTCTCTAAAGAATAGAATACTATTTGATTTGATTTGATTTCTAATGTTTTCAATTTTCAACCATTTTGTTTCCATTAAATAATTGATGGTGAAATACTTTTTAATTAAATTTAACTATGAGTTAAAAAAACATTTGAAAAATAGATTTTAGGACAAAGAATTTTGTTAGAAGGGGCCAAAAAAAAAAACAAAATCCAAAATTTCTCTTATTTTTTTTCTTTTAATATTGTCAAAATAGAGAATGAGTTCCATGTAAAAATTACCAAAACACACATGTTCATATATTTTTATTAAATAAATAACAAATTACAAATAAAGAAAAAACAAATTTAATTTTATGTCATTTCGAATATACGATGTTTAGGAAACTCTAGGATCTCTTTCTCCCTCTCAAGTTAGAGAACCCAGTCACTAGGTATCCTTATTCTGACGAAAAACAATGAAGGGAAAGAATATTGAAATGTGAAAAGAATGTTTTGGATGATTATATGTTTATCATCTATTAAAACAAAGACGTCAAAAAAGTACTGAAAAAAAAAAGACGTCGAAAAAAATATATCTATACGTCGATAAATTTAAACAAGAATTGCTTAAGAATAAATTTTGAAGCATAAAATCTTTAATAGATGTAGGGGTCTATAACTAAACTCCTTGATTTTAATTTTAATAATCCCATTGTTCATTAACATTGAAATTTAGAGCAAATATTATAAAGTTGAATGCATTATCCAATACTAAAGGAAAAGGGGTTTGGCTTAGAGGTTTCTTGCAAGAAAAACAATCTCCATTTAATAACAATAACTAAAAGAACTTTATTCAACTTCTCTTCTAACCCAAGATAATCCAACCAAATTTAATTTATAATTCTCTATTTTTATTAAAATAAATTGATGGTTGGAACAAGTTTTCCCACACAAATTTAAAGACCATTTAGACTCCATTCTATCACAATCTCATTTTTGTCTTTTTTTTTCACAACTTAATTATTATTTTAATTTTCTTTTTAGTATACAAAATGTGTGGATGAAGGATTGAACTTTCAATCTTTAAAAAACGAGTAAGGTGACTTAATCGTTGAGCTAAGATACCTTAGTCGTTGAGCTAAGTTCATGTTGGTATTATTATATTAACTAGTCAATTAAAATTTACTTAAAGTAATTAACTTTTAAATAATAAGTAGCTTGTGACATTAGACAAATTTAACTCTTATTTTTTTTTCTATAGAATTTTTCAAAAAAATAGTTGGTTGATCAAAAAATTAGATTCCAAGATGGGACCTAATTTCTTTTGGGCCTTGAATGGATCGTTATATCTGAACATGAAGCCCACTTGTATTGGGCCTGGGTACGTAACATGCACGACCATGAAAATATTTGCAAGTTTTTGGAGAGCTACAGTAAAGTCAATAAAATTTAAAATCTAATTATAATTTTTGAAAAGTTAAAATGACTTTTTGAAAAAAAAAAAAAGTGTAGATTATAATTTCTTTTCGATACAACAAAATGTAGAATAAGAGATTGATTTTTAACTTTCTTTATTCATTGGATTATTCTCGAATTGGCTTAAAAGATTATGATTGTAATAGATATTGTGTCCTATTGTTGAGTCCACTGGTGTCTTTTGGCTTCCGGTTCATAATATTTAACATGTAGTAACTTCTAATTTGAAAGGACTTAAAGAAAAAGGCGTAAAAATACATTTTTATTTTTTAAAGTTCAATAATTATGGGATGAGGAATCGAACCTTGAAACTTTTTTTTAATTATAACAAATGAGGATGTAGGGATTTGAAACTCTGACCTTAAAGAAATGAGTATACGTTTTAATTACTGAACTATACTCATTTTGACATTGAACTTTCATAATTTTTTTAATAGAATTACATAAAAAAAACAACAAAAAATAGGAAAAAAAAAACAAAACATACTAGAGTCGGTTGCCCTTTGACCTTTTTGCCACTATACCTGAGGTATGCGCACTATCCCCATACGCATACATAGGCAAGAGATCATTATTTGGTGGAGTTGCATTCTATGTAATTTGAACCCAAAACTTCAAGGATATTTCTTGAAATCCCAAATCACCCAAACTATCCCTTAAGAACCTTCTCATACAACTCTGGCACGCAACAATCGAGCACTTAACTCAAATGGCTTCAAMTTCATTTTCGAACTTTAATCTAAAAAAGATAATAAGTGTCTTTTCACAAAGACATCTTATTAATAGCTAGATGCCATAAATATATTGGTATAAAATTATTAAGAATGTTACACAAGTTGACTTAAATTAAAGAGGTCCATTCCTAATTTTCAAAATTATTCAATGTTAGATACAAAACTCCAAATTATAACCAAACAAACAACAAAACCTCTTGAAGTCGAAGGCCTGCAATTCTTTAACCCAAATAAAAGAATCTAAAGAGAGGGAAACGACAAATGTTGTTTTACATCACGACATTGTAATAAGACATTCACATCTTGACACAATATTCATACAATTTTTTTTATACATAAAAATAAAGTTAAATATACACATTCGTCCAAAAAATGCCAATAGGCAGCAGGTCAATTAAAAAGAAAGAGAGAAAAAAAAGTCAAAATTTTGTTTTAAAATATAATAGGTTAATATTCAAGTAATGAGATCGATGATATGAATTTATTAAAATAAAAAATGAAAGTTTAACAATGTAATTAATACTTTTAAAATTTCAAAAAATACTAAATTATAAGTTTCATCTTGACGAATCTAAACATAGTTCAAAAGATGAAGAGAACTGCTATCCTTCTAAAAATTCAAATGATCAATGTATTTAGAAAAGATTCCATTAGATCCCTGAATATCGTCATCGTTGTGTCTACTTATTTATTTTATTTTTAAAATTATAATATGGTTATGCAATATTGAGAGCAGAGATTCGAACTTCTAATCTCATGGTCGATGATATATGTTTTAGCCGATAGGACTTTCAATTTTGTATTTTAGACAGCAAGTTCTACAATCTTATTAAGAACTGTCTCATTCAAATAACTTACCATGCAACTATTAATCTAATAATTTTGTTTAACGTCTCAATTTGSGCATCTGAAGGACGGCTGGCTGGCGGAAGAGGAAGATATACAACCATTTTAGAGTTGTTTTCATTAATTAAGTAGTGGTGAAGTTCATACTATAAGGTGCAATTATTAGTGTGACTAAAAAGTAATATTTATATTTAATAAATATAAACATAACTCTTAACCCCAAAAGTTAGAAACTAGTTTTCTAAGTTTTTACTTTGTGACTCGACATCTGATTGGTGATTGGTATCTAATTATCTTTTCTTCTATTGAGGTTGGAACCTACTCAATTAATCGACGCAAATTCTCACTCACTTGAAATCTCAGCCGCAAATTATTGAACTAAAACAATTAAATTATTCCCAAAAGAAGATTCAACAAAAAGAAGAAAAAACCAAAGTCATTCTAGTTCTTCCTCGTCGTCGTTCCCAATAAATAGTACAGAGCCAAGCCAGTGACTGTTGCAGGATAAAGTTATGGCTCTTCAATGGAGCTCGCACAGCTACATTTTCTTCACATTCTTCATCCTCCTCTCCATTTTCATTTCTCCAATCTCATCTCTTCAATTTCCCATCAATGTCTGGCCAAAACCCAGAGCCATCTCCTGGCCCCGCCCCCAAGCCGCTCCCCTCTCCCCCAATTTCACCATCCTTTCCCCCCGCCACCGCTACCTCTCCCCCGCCGTCGACCGCCTCCTCCGCCGCATCCTCACCGAGAATCACCGCCCCCTCCTCAATCCCTCCCTCAACATCTCCACCTCCGCCGCTCCCCTCCTCAAACTCACCCTCGCCGTCGCCGATCTCTCCGCCCCACTCCACCACGCCGCCAACGAGTCCTATTCCCTCGAAATCCCCGTCGCCGGCTCCCCCCGCTTGGTCGCCCACACGGCGTGGGGCGCCATGAGAGGCCTCGAGACCTTCTCCCAGCTTATTTGGGGCGATCCGCCGCGGGTTCCCGTGGGGTTTTCCATGTGGGACGCGCCATTGTTTCCGCACAGAGGGCTGATGCTCGATACCTCTAGGAATTTCTACGGAGTGGAGGATATTTTGCGGACGATTTCGGCGATGGGTATGAATAAGCTTAATGTTTTCCATTGGCATGTTACTGACTCGCATTCTTTCCCTCTTGTGGTGCCGTCGGAGCCTGAGCTTGCCGCCAAGGGGGCTTATGGGCCTCACATGAAATATTTCCCTGAAGATGTTCGACGAATTGTCGAGTTCGGAATGGAGCACGGAGTTAGAGTCTTGCCGGAAATTGACTCTCCCGGTGAGTTCTACTCTGTTTTCACCAATTGGGTTGTTCATAAGTTGTTTAGTTCTGTTCTTAAATCTGCCTGAAAATATCTTTGCTTAAATTACAGCGTTGTTATGGTAGTTGTTCCTTGAATTTTAAAATGGGTTCAAACTTCTAGGACTCTATTTATTTGGTTCTTGCTTCTTATATATATATAAGTTAAACAAATGTGGGGTGGATAGAAACCTCGAACTTACCAAAATAATAGGTATTTTATCTACTAAACTATTAGCAGATTGAAATTTAGTTTTAATTTTTTCAAAAAAATTAATATTTTGTGTTTTACGAATCCTATTGGTAATTTGCTGGACACTTACCTGACATGTTACTTGAGGATAATGTGGTGGTTTGAATTTGAGCATAGTCTGTAAATAATGTTGTTAATGTGGCACATAAGCACTGAACTAATGACGATATAGATTTTTTATCTTCTTTAAAGTATAAAAACTAAATAGACATTAACTATGTCGAGGGACTACAATTGGATTGAATTATATTACATTAAATTAAAGCTTTGTACGAAGAAGACCAAGGGAATTGGTTTAGAATACTGAATTCAACATCTTCCATTACTTATTAAATGGCTGGAAAAATGATAAATCAATTAGTTATTTGTGGAGAATCTGCCATAAGAATGTAGAATATTGTTGTGAAATTTCAGGACATACTGGATCATGGGCTCTGGCTTACCCAGAGATAGTGTCATGTGCAGACATGTTCTGGCTTCCTGCAGGCACCAAATGGGATGACCGCCTGGCTTCAGAACCTGGGACTGGCCATTTGAACCCCTTGAACCCCAAGACCTACAAAGTCCTTAAAAAAGTTATTCGGGACGTTACCACTCTTTTCCCCGAACCATTTTACCACTCTGGAGCTGATGAGATCATTCCGGGTTGTTGGAAGGCTGATCCTTCGATTGAATCCTTCTTATCAAATGGTGGAACTCTTAGCCAGGTTCTTGAGATCTTTGTCAACACCACCTTCCCTTACATTCGCTCCCTTAATCGTACCGTTGTGTATTGGGAGGATGTGTTGCTAGACGACAATGTCAAGGTGCGACCGGAGTTTCTCCCACGACAGCATACCATCTTACAGACTTGGAACAATGGCCTTAACAATACAAAAAGAATCGTCTCTTCGGGATATCGAGCAATCGTGTCGTCTTCTGATTTTTATTACTTGGACTGTGGCCATGGCGATTTTCTTGGGAATGACAGTCGGTATGATCAACAAGCAAATGGGGACCCTGAAAATGGAGGGTCCTGGTGTGGAGCTTTCAAAACATGGCAAACTATATACAACTATGACATAACTTATGGATTGAGTGAAGAGGAAGCTGAATTGGTGCTAGGTGGGGAAGTGGCATTGTGGTCCGAGCAAGCAGACCCGACAGTTTTGGATGCACGGCTATGGCCTCGAGCTTCAGCAATGGCAGAGTCGCTCTGGTCGGGGAATCGAGACGAAACGGGGAAGAAGAGGTATGCGGAGGCAACAGATCGTTTGAATGAATGGAGATATAGAATGGTGAATAGAGGCATTGGAGCTGAACCAATTCAGCCTCTCTGGTGCATTCGAAACCCTGGCATGTGTAACACTGTTCAAAAGCTCTAATAGTATATTGATGAATGATGAACAATATGTTCAATACGAATGAATTTATCACAGTATGCAAATTTTACCAGTTTCAAATTGATGTATTTCTCGTATTACTGTAAAAACGTATCAAGAGGAAGGACAACCAAATCAAGAGCAGGTCACGTAAAGAGAAGTAATCTATTACATCTTAAATTAAGAAGGTTAAGATTTCAAACTCAGAAGCCAATCTGATCCAAGAGGTGAATAATTTTACAAACTTGTGTATCTGGGGAGAGTTACATTTGGGTTGAATTTGAGACTTGACAGTGAAGAAAGGATTTTAATCCCTAAAGGAACTTATGTACCAAATGACTGGAATCAGCAGGCTCAAACATGGCGCCATTAATGTTGACGACTCCTGGGTTTTGACTGTTAGACACAGAAAATGATGGCAGGCTCATATCCAGAATTCAAACAGAAGTGTAATAACTCCTTTGGAAATACCATCACATCGCCCGCTTTTAGAAAACTCTAGAACAGTCGATTCTTGGTGTCAAGAAATCCAGCCAAAACAATGCCTGTTAATCATAATCTTCAAATGGAAGAAGAAAACTGTTAAACTACCACTAAACTTAAAAGCTTGATGATTTGCGATTAACAAAAACATCATCATCAAGCAATAGGTTGTACCTTGGTTCACGAAGAACATCTCGGTGGCTCTCGGGTACGAGTGAGGGGAAATGATGGTGTCCGTGCCAAATCGGTTTTGGAAATGTAGAGTCCAAGAGTATTCAGCAGCAGTGAGTATGTTCTCCGACGAGCTCAACCAATCATCGGTATTGACAGGACAAATTAGCTTTGCTGAGTTGAAGTCAGAAGTTGTAACAATGGTGGGTTTTTGCAAGGGAAGCCATTGATGAACTCACTTTTGTTTGTGGCTGTTGGACAGGTATCAAAGACATTACTAGAATCTGCAACTGAGATTCCAAGACAAGAAAATAACACAAACAGGAGAAGGAAAATTAAGGAAGATGATGATGGTTTCTTCATTTTGCGTATGTGTTTGAACTTTGAACTGAGAATTTAGGATGAGACATATAAATAAATATTATTGAGTTGCAAGGTCTTTGGGGTTGCCAACAATGGAAGAATTAATTTCCCAAGTCTTGGAGTTTACTACTGGGTTAACAATGAATTATGTACCAAGAAAAGTGCATTTTTTAAAGGAAAATTAAGAGGAAAGTTAGTTATGATATTAATATTGATATTAATCAATTGGGGAGAAAATTACATAGCTTGGATTCGAACTCAGTAACTCTTGCTCTTGTAATATCTTAAATCATGGATCCAAAAGCTTAACCTAATATGTTATGAATAGTTATGATGAATTGAAAATTATTAAGATTTCTTTCACTTTGAGAAATGTATCTTGAATTCTTCATTTATTTACGACTAGCTTCAGTTTCGTGCTCTGTCTGGTGGCATTTCATTTATGCTAATTTATGTTTATAGATTCTACACCAGAAGGTCTTCCTCCAAAATGAAGAGCATTCCACGAGCATCATCAGCTACAGCTGTTGAGGTACTGAAGGTATCGATACATATGATTTGCAATTGTTGCATTCTTGTTCTTAATTTTTGTAGGACCTCTCCCTCTCTTGTGAGTGGTTGCACAACAGGATGGAAGTAACGGTGATACTGATACAATTCCAACGCCCATAGTTATAATAGACCAGGACTCTGATCAAGATGCAACCGTCGTGCTCGTGCATGGCGATCGGCTTGGAGCCCTGCTCGGCACGGTAGAGTGCTAATCTTTTTGTAGTTGTAATGTCATCTTCAGCATTCCATTCCTGAGAGCTTCTTACTAATTTGAAAGGGTGGAGAGATTTTTTGGGTCGTCTTGTTCCATTGTTGAAATCACCATTAACGGTGCATTGGTTGCAGATGAATGCTCTGAAGAACCTGGCGCTGAATGTTGTCAAGGCTAATGTCTTTTTGGATTCTTCTGGAAAACACAACAGATTTTCCATTACAAAAGCGTAAGTATCGAGTGACTTGTAGTATCTTAATCATTCTTGTTCTGCAGTTACTATGCTGAATTTGAAGTTGAAGCAGAAGTTCTGCTTTCCTTCTTCTCTGTCTTGCTATTTTTGGTGCTTCATATATCTATATTTAGTATCTATTACTTATATGCACATTACTGAGTTGTAGGTTGTTGTATTACTGTAGTAGTAGGTTACTAGAACTCTGGATATTGTCTATAATTTCTATGAGAAAAATCAGAGTTTATTGTCAATTGTTACTATTTACATGGCTATGCTGCTTGGTTGGCAAGTTTGGGCTTCCCTTGAAAACTGTGGCAATGCCTTAAGAAATGATAAATACTCGCCAAAACTCTTCGTGGGTATATCAACGATTTTATTGTATTGTCTAAATTCGACTGTTTTACAGCTCCATCAATTAGATTGGACTTAAAGTCGTTCTGTTGTGATTTGCTGTGCTGGTATGAAGAGATACAGGAAGAAAGGTGGATGATTCAGATCGCTCGAGTCAATTCGTCGAAATGAATTAAAATTGAAAGTACAGTAACTAAAATAGCTAACTTTTAAGAAAATTGTTGAAAGTACAAGAACTAGAATAACTAACTTTTAAGTAAATTGCAGTGGGTAGTAAAAATTTTATATGTATTTCAAAATAGTCACATGTTTTTTAAAATTTTCAAATATAGCGTAAATTTTCACTCATATTAATAATATATCAAATACTCATATCAGTATTATATCGATATTATATCAGACGTTCATATCAGTAGTAGATCAAATTTATGTCACATATATATTGCATAGACACTTATATAAAAAATATATCAGATGTATATCATATACATATTGCAAGTTTATCAGACACTCATATGAGTAGTATCTCATATACATATAACAGTAGTTAGATATATTATAGATATACTACAGATATATTACAAAAAATGTATATCATTTGAGTCAAGCTATCATTTTAAAATTTGACATTCATTTGTCAAAGCGAGCATAGTTTAGTGATATTTGAGATATATTTCCAATCATAAAGTTGTGAGTTTGATCGCCACTCCTACATGTGGTACTCAAAAAAAAAAAAAATTGACCTCTATTTTATTTTTTAAAAAGTACTATATTTGAAAAAATTAAACGTGGTTGTTATTTACTAATTTTACTAAATATTTTTGTCATATTTACGCTTCCCCGACTTTGATGCGATATACTTTTTCCAAAGGGATTACGCTGATATCTTAGTACGAGTAGTTTGAGACGTGATCTGTTTTTAATTATGAAAATGAGAAGGAATTATCTCCTCCATGACTATGCTTGGTTGTTTTATTTTATTAATTATGATTTAGTTTTAAAAATTAAAGAGCCAGCTGGCTGTGTGATTGGTTCAACCTGGAATTGACCTCACCTGCACTTGAATCCTTTCATTTTCTGGGGGTTTTTTTTCTCTCTCTTTCTCTATGTTCGCTTTGATTATCTGGGGAACAAGCAAGCCGATGAAGCCTCCATTTCCACAAGATTTTTGAGATTGGGATTTTTTGTTATTGAATTTCCAATTGATTTCATTCCGACCGAATCTAAATGACTAAATTTCTAGTCTTATGTTCGAGCAATTCAAAATCCAAGCGGGTTCGGATTTTATTTGTGGGGATCGGGACGGGATTTTTCGGGGAATTCACTATCCGGTGAATCCCCTTATTATTTTTTATTATTTTTGTTTAAAGGTAAAATTACTGGATAAAAACTCACTTATATGGTTTATTTCTCTTCTTAAAACATAATATTTCATTTTAATCTAATTATCCTATGCATATCACAATATGCCTACAATATTTCAACAATAAATTTGAATGAGGCAAAGTAGGGAATGTGGACGGGTACCAAGAACATATTCTCCATCCTATTTAGTAGTAAAATATTGGGGATTTGTAATGGGTAGCATATAAGTTTTCTATATTTAACAAAACAGCATGCATTTTTTATATTTTTAGATATAGCATTTTTTTGAAAATTCTCATTTTAAAATTTTCAGTATTCCCAAATTACCCTTTTCAGTTATCGCTTCGTTATTATATATCAAATATATATCACATATATATCAGGAGTATATCTGACAACATTAGTATATCAGAAGTAAATCAATAGTATATCAAAAGTCAATCAGTTCTATATCAGTTGTATAATAGTAAATCACTATTTTACCTGCTTTAACCCTTTTTCTTGTATTTTTTTGATCAATTAGAAATTAGTAGGTATTGGCATGCATGGAAAATGAGAAAAAAAATTTGATACTTACTGAAAATGAGAAAGAAAACTTGAAAAGGAACGTGAATGTCAATGTCAATGGTGACTTTCGAAATTACTGTGAATGAGAAATCAATTAGAAATTAGAGGTAAATAGAAACTTAGGGTTTTTCTGTATATCAATAATATATCAGTGATATATCAAGTATACATTGTACATATATCAATAGTACAATTA